GCCCTGGCCAATGTGGCTCAGTGAATAGAGGGTCAGCCCGCAGACTGAAGGGTCCTGGGTTTGATTCCGGTCGAGGGCATGTACCTCGGTTGCAGGTTCCCTGGTTCTGGTCGGGCACGTGCAGGAGCAACCAATCCATGTGTCTCTCACAGCAATGTCTCTGTCTCTCTCCCCCCCGCCCCACTCTCTCTAAAAATCAGTGGGAAAATACCTTCGGGTGAGGATTAACACACAAACAAACAGAAAGGAACCACGAAGCAGCCTGCGGACATGCCGACGGCCCAGCCTGCCCGGGCCACCCGCTCGGGGTGCTCAGGGCCCCTCCTCTTCCATTTCACCCAAGAAGGTGGCCACACCCTGACTTCCTGGCCTCCCAGCGAGGGTGTCACCCATCACAGAGGAGCAGCCATCCAAGTCTGGGCGAGCCCCCTCCGCCCCTCCCGCAGATGACGCCTTAGCGTCTCCCGTTTACGCCAGATGTTGGCATCAGCCTTCGTGGTTCTCTCTTCCTCCTCATTCCATATTCAAGCCGTTCGCAAGGCCAAGCGGCTTCAAAATATACCCGAATCCCAGTGCTTTTCACCCCGTGATGCCATCCCAGTGCGGGCCACCCTCACTCCTCGCCTGCGTGTGCACCACGCTCTTACGGCTTCTCCGCTCCCGTCTCCTCTCCCGTCAGTGACACGCCACCAACGAGCCAAATGAGTCTTTGAAAACGCCAGTTTGGTGATGTCACTTCCCTGCTCAAAACTCTCCAGTGGTTTTTTTCCAAAAATAAAACCTAAAGTCCTTGCCATTACCTGCAAGGACCGACATGATCTGATCCCAAAATTAGCTCTCTCCCTCGCCGCCTGCCGCTGCCTTGTTCACTCTGCTCTGCAAACACAGACCCACATGCCAATGCTCAGAGGAACCAAGCCAAGCTCACCCACCCCAGGAGTCTGCACAAGCCCTTCCCCCACCGGCGGGTCAGCACCGGGGAGTCACATGACTCCTTCCGGCCCTTCTCCAGGCTCCGTGCAAATATTCCCCAGAGAGGCCCTCCACGGCGGCCGCACTGTCCTCTCACTGTCTCCTTCCTCTGCTTCCACTTTCTCCATTGCATCTACCACGCCCTGTGTGCATTCCGCCGCGTGCATTCATTGTCTGTCTGTCTCCCTGTATAAAGGAGGCTCTATCAGAGCAGAAAACTGTCTGCTTTGCCCACCACGTGTCTCCAGCACCCGTGCACGTGGGTCAGCCCTCCATACACGCATTGAATAAACAGAAGCTATTGCAGAGTTCTGGAGAATGACATAATCAAATTGTGGCCGGGAGCAGAAATGGGAGTAGGGATGCCGGTGGGGCTCCTGCCCAGGTGCGAGGAGGCTGACTTTGGAGTGAGGTAGAGGGAGTGGAGATGTTAACAAAGACAGAGGCACCCCAATTTTGTTGGAGCCTCAGCTCTCTATCGGTGCTGTGTACAAACTTGATTCGCTAGCTAAACACTTAGCAAATAAATGTCTGATGCAGATTGGGAGAATGTGACAAACGGAAGTAGGCCCAGAAGGGATCGACTTTGATGCCTTCATCCTACCTCTGAGGAACTGAGCCTCGGGGAGACTGCAGGGCCCCTCAGAGTCTCCTGGCTCGTTAGTGGAAGTGGCCAGCACTGGCATCTACTTTGACTTATTCCCATTTCTGGGCTCTTCCCACTTGCCCATTAGCTGTGCTGCAAAACTGTCTTGGAAAAAAATGTATGTACTTTTAACATCGTAAGAACTTTGAAACTGCTAATTGTTTTAAAAATAACTTGCTATGTGATTACAAGTTTGAGTTTGGCTTCTTGCACAATTTTAATTGTATTTGGGGCTGTGCTGAGAAGTCCCAAGAGAGTACATCAGCTTTTTGCTTGGGTCTTTCTGTTCAATGGCTTCGAACTTGGCACCAGGGTTGCTAATTTAGGGTTTATCCTCCACTTGCCTTCATGTACCCCCACCCGTACACACACACACTGATATCTACTCAGTGTCATCTTTGAGGCAAGACTTAAAAATAGGATTATGTCCAGCAGGAAAACACAAAAGGAACTGAGTAGCATGCGTAGACCAGACGGACTGAATAAAGGTGAAGAAGACAACTTCTTCTGCACTGACGTAGATTCACTGCATCCCACACCACGAGTGGCAACCACCCCGGCAAGAACGCCTCACCGTCAAGTGGGATACGTGCTGAGGGCACTGCCCCTCTTCCCACTGTTCCTCCCTTCGCCATACTCTGCACAGGACCCGGGAGCGTTTCATTAATTCATTGAAGCAGGTTGTTTGTTCCTAATGAGCTCATCCCAGGAAGGTGGTTAAGCGCTTCGCTCTCCTGGTGAAAAGATGTGTGATCCCGACACAGACGGTGAGAAAACCAGGGGGGATTCATGTGGGGCCGACAGCCCGAGAGGCTGCGAAATGCAGCGGGAAAAGCGCTGTTTCTGTTGGCAACTCCTTTCACTTCCACCGAAGTCTGTCCCTTACCGCACCCGAGGCTGAGCTGGACAGACCCGGACACGTTCTGTGGACACGTGTGGCTCCGCCGTCTCTCTTCCTACGCTGCACCCCATCCCTGCTGGTCTTTGTGGTCTTTTGTTTAAACATATTTTTATTGATTTCAGAAAATGGAAGGGAGAGGGAGGAGAGATAGAAACATCGATGAGAGAGAAGCATCGCTTGGCTGCCTCCTGCACAGCCTCTACTGGGGATCGAGCCCGCAACCTGGGCACATGCCCTGACTGAGAATCGAACCAGTGACCTCCTCAACCACTGAGCCACACTGCTGAAGCTTTTGTATCTTTAGGAAGCTAATAATCTGAGCGTGCCAGGGAGAGAGCTGTTCTAGGTTTTGTGTCCCCCAAAATCCGTAAGTTGAAATCCTTATCCCCAGTACCTCAAAATGTGACCTTCTTTGGAAAGAGGGTTGTGGCAAATGCACCTGATTAAGATGAAATCATACTGCGGAAGGATGGGACCCTAGTCCAATATCACTGGCACCGTTATAAAGAGGGAATTTGGACAAACACAGGGAGAGCGCCATGTGACGGCCACCACCCGGGAGCTACCCGATCAAAATCAGGGCTTCGTTCCCATGTTTACGCTGAGGTTGGTATTCCGCGGTCCCCCCACTTTCCATGGTAGCACTTACCCACAGTCACCCAAGGTATGAAAATAAATGGAAAATCCCAGAAGTCTTCAATTCCTAAGTTTTAAAGTGCACGCACTCCATGTAGCATGAGAAAACCCCATACTGCTCTGCTCCGTCTGGGCCGGGCTACGACTCATCCTTCGCCCAGCGTCTCACACTGTGAATGCTGCTACCTGAGGGTCAGTCTCTCGGTGGCCATCAAGGTGACCAGATCAACTGTCACATCTCACGGTGCTTGTGTTCAAGTCGCCCGTAGTTTACACAACGAGGCTGCGGCCGCGTAACTTTTCTCTCAGTGAATCCTTTGAATTGTCCCATTTTACTCTTAGTTATTAGTGTCTATCTCTTACTGTGCCTAATTCACAAATTAAACTTTATCATGGGAATGTATGTATAGGAAAAATGAAATAGGGGTCTGGGGGACTTGGAATATATCCCCCATGGATAAGGCGAGGGGGGCTGCTGTAAGTCGAATTAGGGAATCATTCAATGGAAAGACTCTTCAGCTCTCGAGACATCAATTTATTGCATGTAGTAACTATTTATTGTATTGACATATTTACAAAATACTACAAAATGAAACAGCACTCTAACCCACCATAGTACACAGGACTGCATACGGGCAAGACAAAGTATGTGAACGCACACTGACTTCTGTCTTTGGTATTAGAGATCTACACCAACCCGCGCACTGACCGTCCATACAGAGCGCCAAACACAGACAAAGACGCCGGGGCAGCGTCGTGACAAGGGGCTCCGACCCCCTCTGCTAGGAGCCGCCCCCAGGCCCATGAAATGCAACAGGAAGACCACACACCGTTGGCGAGGAAGGGAGTCTAGTGGCTGCAACAGCAACACCCGCTCCTACCCCGCCCAGGGGTGTTTCCGCGCGTGACGCTGCTGCTTCCGTGACCACAGACAGTGACACACGAACCTTCTCCGACTCTCAGCTGCAGGTAAGACGGGGACACACCGTGAGGGCACAATTCTACTGCACAGACGTCTATAAAATTCCCTTCCATGGCCATTCACACACACACACACACTCAACTTTAACTGGCTTTAGCACATAGTAATTTCTCTAAAACACAATCACAGTTTACATAATTCTGAGGTAAAGGTCCCGACTCTATCCTATCTGAGAAGGCCTAGCCCCGGGGGTCTCTACAGGGGGAGGTGGGCATTGAACAGTAGGTTCTGGAATTCAAGAGGGTCGGGGAGCAAGCAGGTGGCGCCTCCCTCCAGTCAGACATGATCCAGAGCCTCCGACCGGCGCTTCCAGTTTGGCTCCTTAAAGTTAATGCTTCTCATGCTGGGCTCTCTTCAAACCCAAAACACCCCCTGGATCTCATCTGGACGGGACTTTGTGCTACAGAGAAACCATTTCATCGGGAAAGGGCCGCGTAGTGTCTTCACCTGACTGCCTTGGCCGGGCCTCTGTGTATCACAGAGAGAACATGTCACATAAAAAGTGAAGGTTTGGTCAAATCAATCCACTGCAGAAACCCATCTTCCCACTGGCTCACACCCCCGACAGGGGCTGCTGGTGGGTGGGGAGACCCTCGGTGGGAAGCCGAGGCCACGCCGAGGAAGCCCGGAAATGCCTCGTGACCCTCCGGGCCCAGAAATGCAGGCAGGACCCCGCTGTGCTTTCCTTCCCAAACCCTCAGCAAACTGGTTTGTGCTTGTGCTGCTGCAAATACTCCGGGAAGAGGGAGACCGGCAACTCCCTCCTTTTTGTTAATAGCTGTCGCTCCTGTCCAATGACCTCATAGACATGATAGCCCTTAATCTGCGTCTGTAAACAATGCGTCCTCACTCAGGTTCCCTGCAGCCGCCTGTCCCCTACCAGCCAAGGTGACTTCACCAAGTGAGAGACCACGTCTCCAAAACAACCTGAGGAGGCCACGGGGCGGGAGGGCCTCACAGGAGATGCTCGCGTTTATGCACTTTCCTCCTCTGTGCACAGTGACTCGCAGCTGTGGCCAGGACAACCGATGAGAAACGGAAGGAAAGTGTTTGCAATGAGCCCCCAGGAGGCCCTTGAAGACGAGGAGCCATACTGGGCCCTCCATCAGCTGCCGACGGTGGAGCTCTCGCGGGCTCTGTGCTGGGAAGGGCAACACTGAGCTCTGCTTCTTTGGACCATGAAGGAATTCTGGTGAGAAGAAACCGGCGGGAAGCGTTTCCTGATGGCGGCATCCTGGGTCGGACCGGATGGAGGAAGTGGAAAGACGAGCCATGTGTTTGCTGGGCTCTTTGGGGGACAAAGAAAGCTCGGGCTTTGCCCTGGCCCCGACAATGACCCAGTGGTCGCTGTCCCGTGCCCAGCTGTCTGTCAGCACCAGCATTTAGACCCCAGGATTAAGACTCAGGAGGGGGACGTGGAATAGCCGGAAATGCAGCTTTTGAAACACATCGGTTCGTTCACGCCCGTGTAGGCTTCGGTCTGTCCGCCTCGGAAGGGTCTGGGCGGAGCCACGCTGGACCGGCACCTACTCATCCACCTCCACGTACGTGGACGGAAACCAGCCCACCTACAGGAGAGAAGCAACCAGTGAGCCACGTGACTTCACACCTGCCCCTCGAGGGGTCTACGCCCGGCATGCTGTTTCCCTGACACCCCGTTAAGCTGGAGTTTTATACCCAGTGCAGGCGGATAAGGCGGGCTTAGGGGCTCCTAGAGCGGGACAGAGTTGCCATTGGCTGGCACACAAATGAATATGCAAATGAAGGAGGACACAGGCTCTGGTATGGAATGAGTCCTCTTTCTGCTACAGAACGGAGCGGGCTATGAAGACAGAGGTACTGGGTCCCATTCCTCCCAACTGAGATCAGCGGCCCGGGGAGACCGTCTGTTCTGCACAGCAAGTTTCTGCTCCGAGGCCGAGGGACTAACGCTCCTCAACCCCCATCCCAACCAGGAGCCACGCCCTCGCGCAGGTGACCTGCGCTTATGCCACCATCACGTTCCCTCAGCGCATTTTTCTTGCAGGCCTCTTGGGGGTAAGAAACACCAGCAGGGCCCGGAGCCGGAGTTCTGGGAGGGGAGGGCTGCCGGGGGAGGGCCGCTCCCCAGCAGCTCGAGGGGGGCCTGCAGCTGCCATGACCTTCGTTCACGGGCACGAGCGCACGCGAGGGAGAGCTCACCTTGCCGTTCGCTTCTCCTCGCCACCAGCCATTGCCACTCATCTTGGTGTAAATCTTCACCACGTCCCCCTTCAGCAGGGACAGCTCCCGCATGTCCCTCGCACAGAAGTCGTAGCGCGCCACGGCGATGCCCAGCACCTTGGGGCTCAGCACTGTGGAGACAGGACGGGGAGTCGCTGATTTGAGGGGTGAGGACCCCGAGGGGCTGAGTGGGTGAGCGTCAGTGATGCTGTCACAATGCGGAGGTGTGACTTCGGACGGACAGCGACAATGGCAGGCAGCCCGGGAGCGAGCAGCAGGATGGCTTTAGGGCAATCAGGGGTCAAGGTCCCTGCCTAAAGTCTAAAGGCCACGGTCTGTTCTCACATTCTTCAAAACGACAAAACAGGGGCTCGTTTTTGTTTAGAAAAGGTTCCAATCTGAGGAGAAAGGACCTGAAAGAGCTAGCTTACACTTCCGACCGATGCCACACATTCTGCCTCTAACCAGAACCGCGAAGGCAGAAAGCTTTCCGTTTACCTGGAACCTTTTAGGACTAAGACTCAAAACAACCAATTTGGTTTTGCTCAGAAGGTCTCCTGGGGAGTCCAGTTCATCGCTTCCAGTTAAATGGCACTTCCTCCCCCAGCCGGCCTCTTTGTTGTTATTGCTAAACTTATTTGGGGCTAAACTCAGTTACTGTTTTACATATAATTTCACTTAGGTGAAGAAGCTTAAATCAGGTTTCCACAAACACAATTTATCTTCTCTTTCCAATGAATCCTGCCTCACAGAAAACCTTCACTGACGTATGTAATTAAAAATGGTGTCAGCTAGGTCGGTGGGCTCACGGTTCGATTCCTGTTCAGGGCACATGCCCAGTTGCAGCCTCGATCCCATGGGGGGGGTGGGGCGTGCAGGAGGCAGCCAATCAAAGAGTCTCTCTCATTATTGACGTTTCTATCCCTCTCTCGCTCCCTCTCCTTTCCTCTCTCTCTAAAAATCAATAAGAACATATTTCTTTACAAAATGAGGTCAGCATGCTCACCTCCTATACTCAGATTGCTGTCATGGTTGACGCTAACCTGCTGTGTTATCAGGAGCTCCGTGACTCCCTGCCCAAACCTGTCTTGAAAGGAAAACGCATTCGAGCTGCACATTTGCTCACATCTCGTGTTTCAGAACATGTTTTTATATCCACTTCTCTACCTGTCGCTCTTTGGGGTTGTAAAGTGTTTTCAATTATATGTTCAGTGATTCTGAGAATCACTCACCTGGGATGGAAGGAACTGAAGTAGAAGAAAAAGAAACAAACAGGAAACACCACGCGACTGTGTTTGTAACAGGGCCCAGAGCCCGGGCGGCCGTGATGGCCACCTGGGCCGCCCGGCACAGCCTGCGCACGTGGCCACAGGGCTCCCTGGCCTGGCATTCGTGGCTTTGCAACGATAGAAATATTTTTAGTCTCCAGCTGTCAATCATAAGGTAAACAAATAGCAATGCTGTAGATTTCAGAAGTATAAAGGGAGTAAAAACAGGTCGTTTTATTTTACTGCTCAGACAAAACCCACTTGAATAGTTTTCTTACTGAATTATGGGGCACGCCTTAGATGGGCTCACATAAAAATACCCCTGTGATGGAAAAAGCCAATTATCGACTGGGCCGCGAGGCCTGGCCTGCATCTCTGAGGTTCTGGAGGCTACATTTTTCTCATCTATGAAACGAGAGGTGTGTACCAGGTGACTGACTTCTAAGGCCCTCCTAGTTCTAAATGGTTCTGCTGGGACTTAGAAGTTAATGTTTTTAAATCTGTAAGGAAGCATCCTTTATCCAGCCATAACGTACTCTCCTTGACGTCCCATGAATAACCATTCCATTCTCTGGCTAATGACAGAAACCGAGACAAAAATACCCAGACACAAAACGATGGGCACAGTCATCCTCGGGCCATCTGTGCTGAATTTCACTCTTACATTTGGAGACCCAGTTGGGGTTTCTGTTCTATTTATTTTCTAAACACTGGCTTTTCTCAACTAAAATTTCTGATCCTTAAAGAAACTGATGGTTTTATAGGGTATTCCACGCCCTTTTTATACGCTCGGCCCTCATCCCTCCCCGACCTCTCCCGACGGGTTGAATAGAAACTGTCTTGCTGAAATACAGAATGGGAGCACATGCGCATGCACACACATACACATACACACACACACACATACACACACACACACACACATACACGCGCGCACACATACATGCACGCACACACACACACACACACACACACACACACGCACACTGGAGGAGTGGAATGCCATGGCAAGCAGTGACGCTGCGACAGAGGGGAGGGAGGTGCAGGTGCGAATGTGACCTGGGGCTGTTTGGGAAGAGATGCATCTACATGAGAAGCCACACAGAGAAGGCAAACTGTTTTCTTTGCAAACAGAAGCAAATGGAAACGACACGGACAAGCAGTGGAGCAGTACCTGACCAGAAAGGAGTGGAGGAAGGGGGGACAAAGCTGAAGTCTGGAGGAGGGACAAGAGAAAACCCACAGAACAGAGAGGGGGCTGAGGGAGAGAGAAAGAGAGGGAGAGAGAAGCAAAAAGAACATTTAGGTGTCGGCAAAAGAAAAAAAAAAACATCTTGACACAACTGCCCCGTTGTCTATAATCACAGGAAAACTGTCGCGTCAAAGCTGGGACCTCAACCTTCGCTCACGCTCACTTTGCGTCTTAATCATTGTTTCTAAATGAAGACCCTTTTCCGTGCTGACTGGCAACTCGGGGCTGTCTGTCCCGTTACGGGTGAGCACAGCACCCCACTCCGTGTTGCCACCCGGAACCCTTCCACCGTCTCCTCTGGTGGGTCCCCCCGCCTTGTCACCTCCGGGAGACGGGGAGCCTGCACATTCTCCGTGTAAAACATCCTTCCTGCCAAAACTTCTGAAGAAGAGCCCGCAGCGTGGAGTGCATGGCCTTCCGCAAACTCAAGAAATCCTCTCACGTGTCCAGGTGTGTTAGGACCCACCCCCCACCCCACCCCACCGCCGCCCCACTATGCGTGCGCATGCTAGCTTTCTCCAGAAATGAGACAGAGACTGCTCCGAATCTTACCACATCTGGGAGAGAAAGGAAATATTCCCCACAAAGGTGCAGGGAGAAAGAGAAATGTTAAAGCAACTGGATGCTCAAAAGAAAGGCTTTTCAGAGCCATCAGCATTGGCATCCGTGCCAAGTGGCTACAATTAGGATCTTCTTAAACCTCATCTACAACATTATCACCTTAAGCCCTGGCCGGTTTGGCCCAGTGGGTAGAGCGTCAGCCTGTGGACCAAAGGGTCCCGGGTTTGATTCTGGTCAAGGGCACATGCCCAGGTTGTGGGCTCGATCCCCAGTGGGGGGCATGCAGGAGGCAGCCAATCAATGATTCTCTCTCACCATTGATGTTTCTCTCTCCCTCTCCCTTCCTCCCTGAAATCAATAGAAATATATTTTTTAAAAAATAAAATATAATCTTAAGGGAGTTATTTCCCCAGGGTTAGGCCTTAGCTTCACTCTAATCTGAACTTTCCCCCAACGAGTGGAACGGATTGTTGGATGTACCTTTGCCCTTCACCTGGATCCCACTCTGTGAGCTCAAACATCTTCATGATGCTGCTGGGAGGTACGACCATTATCTCTGATTTTCCTCGTCTGAAACCAAACTCATCCTGAAACACAATTTCCTCCCCATCATCTCGCTCAGTCTCCCACGTTTCTGTCCTTTTTCGATACGACTTCTGCATTGTCTTCGCAAACCATCCTTGCAAACCAGTGTACGGCCTCCCAGCTGGCCTTCTTGCTTTGGACTTTCTTTCCTTCCATCCTTTCTGAATACTGCTTCTTGGCCACACACCATAAACACAGACTCGCCGTGTTCTCCTGAATGTGAAACCCATGACAAGCCACAGCTGCCCGGTCCTGCTTCCAGAACCCAATCTCTTGCCATTGCCCCAAAATCCCTCCACCCAGACCCGTTTCCCAACACCCCTGCGCCCTCAGCTGGATTCTCACCTCGAAGCGTCTGCTCACTCGGGAATGTTGCTCCGTCACCGCTCCTCTGCTAACCCTACTCCTTGTCTCTGACGCCCAGCTCGGGTCCCGTCCTCAAGCCTTTCCTGATCTAGCCGGACACCTGTCCCCTCCCCGTCCTTTCCGGCCATCTGCTGGGCGCTTACGTCATGGCCCTCCCGGCTCCACTGCTAATGACTCCGCGTGCTCCTGCGTCGCCTCCCCCATGGGCCGTTATTCGGAGGAGCGGGGACCAGCTTATCTGGCTTCTGCATCGCCACTGGATGCGGGTTGGGGCCAGGGCTGCACACTGAAGCTGCTGAGCGGACAAGACTCCGCTGACTTCCCACACGCCCGGTGCCTTGTACACACTAACGTTCACGGAGCGTTGCCAAGTAAGTGGCCCATTGTCTAGTGACAACATTTCTCTAAGAATAGAATCAAATATGATCTCCAAGTTAAACAAAGGAAATCCGAAGTCCTGAGACTCTCTAACTGAAACGGAAGTCATCTGCTGAGTAAATTCACTGGGAATCAAATCTATCAGCATAGCCATAATCGACTGATTGGCAAATCATCACGGAACGCTATTCAGTTCTGAGACTTGACCAAGAAAGGGAGCCACACGGCACAGACGTACTCCGGATACAGGAAGAGCAGTGTTTACAGACAGAAACGTAATGAATGACAGCCTGACGCCTATACCTTTGTTGTTAAGGCTAATTTTCTCGTCTTCGTTGTTAATCCTTACCAGAGGATCTATTTTTTTCCATTGATTTTTTTTTAGAGAGAGTGGAAGTGGAAGGAGGGAGTGAGGGAGGGAGAGAGAGAGAAAAAAACTACATCGATGTGAGAGAGACACACCGATTCGTCGTCTCCTGCACATGCCCTGACTGGGTCAGGGATTGGACCTGCAACCCAAGTACATTGCCCTTGACTGGGGGGAATTGAACCTTACAACCCTTTGGTGCACAGGCTGGCGCTCTAACCACTGAGCACCACCGGCTAGGGCTGTCAAGGCTAATTAGTCGCTGCCTTAATTAATAAGCTCTGCCTTGATCAGGCCGCTCATGTTCATGAGCGAATGAAAATCTATCAATTTTCAGTGACGCTTAACATGTGCACACGGTGGAGGCCAAGTGCAATCAGCACTGCTCCTCGGGCCCGTGAGCAAGTCCCACCGCGTTCCTGAACTGCCACTTTCCTTCCATGATGTGTGGAAGTGAACACAGCCCTACACACCTGCCCACTGCTCTCTGGGATAGACACTGCCTAACGCACAGCTCCAAGTTGTAGCAACCACTTGTGTCCACTCATTTGCACAATAAAAAGCTGTTCGTAAAAATGTCAGGCAATTGGACCGATGATCGGCGCAGGGATCCCTGGGAGTTGGCTGCCCAGCAGCGGCCAAGAGGCTTTCCGGAGAACCGGATGCTAAGTGGGCCCTTTGATGTGCCATCCAGGAGGTACCAGGACTGTCTACAGATGGCCCGCAGCAGAGAACATGCTGGGTGAATGTTTCATCGGAACCCTGACCCCTCACCTGGCGTGGTTTCAGAGCGTGGGCTGCGTCTTAGACCCCAGCAGTGTTCAGTATCGGCTCCCACCTCCCTCCATGAAACAAACTGAAAACCCCTGGTTCAGGGCTTACTGTATATGTTACATATTGTCCCTGAAAAAAATAAGGAACAATTCAGATTTGTTTCATTTCATTGAATGGGGACGTAAGTGGTCAAATCTCCTTTCACATGAAATTCAGATATAACAAGAACAACGTAGATCTGGAATTATTAGAAAAAGGGAACAAGTGCTTTGTATGCAGTGCTCAACACGGGAGGCCACTCACGAGAAACACCAGGTCTGAGGCCTTCCCTATTAATATGGAAATTAGGTCACCTGACATCTCCAGGGGTTTCAGATGACTTAGAGGCATCAAGTGTATGGAGTCTAAATCCTTACTCTCCGAAAAGAGTCGGCAGACGTTTATTAGATAACTACAAACTTGCAAAGTGCTGTGTTAGGAGCTACAGGAGACACGACAAGTCAGACAAGTCTGACTTCACTGGAGCTTACAAATCAGCGAAGAGACAGGCACACGGAAACAGAGATGTGGCGACTGTTCATTCTGCTTCGAGAAAGCTCCGACGAGCCTTTGGGCTCCAGCTGAGTCCCTCCCTAAAAAACCGCCAACCTGCCCGGCCGGCCTGGCTCAGTGGCTGAGTGTCAACCTGTGAACCAGGAGGTCACTGTTTGATTCCTGGTCAGGGCACAGGCCCGGGCTGTAGGCTCGATCCCCAGTAGGGGGTGTGCAGGAGGCAGCTGATCCATGATTCTCTCTCATCATGGATGTTTCTATCTCTCTCTCCCTCTCCCTTCCTCTCTGAAATCAATAAAAATATATTTTTTTAAAAAGAAACCTCCAACCTTCGTCACTCAGGCCAAAAACCTTAGTCCTTCTCAAACGGTCTCTTGCTGTTCCAGCTCACACGGGATGTGTGAGAACGACCTGCCGGGTCACCTTCCAAATATAGCACCTGCATGGCCCCCTCGGTGGCCCAAGGTGGCACCATCTGTCACCGATTGCTCAGGAGCAACTGGTCTCCATCTTTCTACCTCGTCCCTCTCCCCGTGGTCCTGGTTTCAACAGAGAAGCCAGAGGACGCCTGGAAAACCTTAAGTGGGACCATGTCTCTCCTTTGCTTCCGTCCCTCCAAGGCTTCCCACTGCTTCCAGAGTCAAGTCCCGTCAGGCCTCAGTGGTCTGGCCCCCCTTACGGCTCCAACCTCGCCCTGCTGCTGTCGCTGTCCCCTGTGCTCCGGCCGTGCCCAGCCCTGGCTCCGACCTTCACTTTTTCCTGCAAGGTCACTGGTCTGGTCGCAACGACCCAGGCCGCCTTTGCAGTGCTTGAAGGATGGCTCTAATATCTGTCACCACATCACGGGGACCGGGCTAATCCCTACTTCGTTTGCGAGCCCACCTTCTTCCCACGCTTTCTCACACGTCAGCGACCGCAGTGCTTTAACGGCTGCTGTGTCTCCCAGGGGCCCCTGGTCCTGACTTTGCTTCTTGAGACCTTCCCTTACCAATGTCTGTGGTTTTTCTAAACCATGTTAGAATACACTGCACACACAGTGTGGACTTCCTAAGCGCAGAATAACCGGCCTGTTCCGTTTGGCCTTGTCTGGCGCTTCCTCGCGGTTAGACTCAGGTGAAGCCTCTTGGACACAGACCACTGAGGGGGGGCTGTGTTTGGGGGAATCACGTCTGGGGGTGCATCACACCTGTCTGTCCCATTAGTGATGTGAACTCTGATCACTTGATTTGTATTTTTCCAACTTTTCCAACTAATACGTTCTTGTGAGAAGATCCTTTGCTATTATCTAAATAACGATAACCAACATTTTTTTTAAATTAGCCAACTCTACTCTGTGGTCCAATTAATTAAGAACTTTGCAAAACGTCGGAGGTCTGCTGGTGGTTATGAAATCGCTCATGGTGCAACTTTCCCCGGTGTAATTGGTCCATTAACATTCCTCTTCACCTCCTCCTCCCATGTGCGTGAAGATAGCAATCTAAGACGCTATCTTTAAAAGCGCGTAATAACATCTCTAATCTCATCCCTCCCTCCTCAGAGGAGAGCCAAGGCCCCGGTGGGCTAAGTCACTTGCCGAAGGTCCGACCTGAACAGCATGAAGTGCTCACGGAGGAGCAAGTCAGGCAAAGGCAGCCCGGTGCCCTCCAAACACACCGGCCCTCGGGGGCACGGGCCGCGGCCTCGGGCGGGCTTGCTGGGACCACTGCTCACAGGCCCACAGCACAGGGCAGAGGGGCTCCCACGGAGTCACTGCGGTTTCCAGGGAAGCAGACGGCTCCCTCGTCTGCCCGAGTCCCCCCTCTATTCTCGCCTCCTCCTTTCTCTCTCCTTCTCCCTCGGAAACACTCAGGTCATTCCAGTGACACAAAGTCGCAGAGCCTGTGGACAAGGGGCTGCAAACTTGAAGTGCTGGATGCCCCCTGGCCTCCTGGGTAATTCCGATCTATGGATGTTTACATGGTGTTTTTGGTGTTTTTGTTTTTTGCATTGGCATGAGGGCCTTCTGTCCTAACCGCATCATACTTCACTGACTCGAAAACGAGTTGGCAATCTCGTTGGTAAGAGCATTCTAACCCGGACAGTGCAGAAGCGAGCAGCCTCCGCCACACGCCCGGGCTCTCCTATCACAGCCAGCAGCAGGTCTCAGCTGGGAACTTCCGTCCAGCCTCCCCGACACGGGGTGGCTCTCGGCTGCAGCTGGCCTGCTCGGTGGCCTTTTGGACGCACTGTCCCTGGCAATCCTTCTTGGTGAAAGCTACTGTTAGGTGCTACTGAGCAGAGGTGAGAACACACATCCCGCACACACGCTCCATACGGGATACCGAGCATCCCCCTGACCAAAGCCGGGCCAGCCCCGAAGGGCTACACACCTATACGGAGGCAGGGCTTTCACTCAGGGTTACCCTTCGCCAGAACCTGGATAAGCAAGGTCTATCTAAAAAATCACAAAGGCAAAGATTAAATTGCTGAGTTAAAGTCAGTGATTCTACCCAACTCTTACAAACACAGGGAATTGTTTCTGTGTGAGAGGAGGAGTGGCAGTAGCAGTAAAAGCTGAAGAGGTAGAGAGAGTAGCGGCCACGTCTCCTGAGTGTGACCACGTGCAGGGCCACGCTGTGCTCCAAACCTAACACCGGAGTGGGGGGGGGGGCAGCCCTCAGAGCCAGCGCAGTGTTCCCAGTATAGCCACTGCAGCAGAAAGAGTCAGCCTCAGGTCAATAAAGCATTGGGGCAGCCTAGCCGGTGCGGCTCAGTGGATAGAGCACCGGCCCTCGCACTGAAGGGTCTTGGGTTTGATTCCAGTCAAGGGCACATACCTCGGTTGCAGGTCCCCTGGCCCTGGTCAGAGTGTGTGTGGGAGGCAACCAATCAATGTGTCTCTCTCACATCGATGTTTCTCTCCGTCTCTCCCTCTCCCTTCCACTCTCTCTAAAAATCAGTGGGAAAATATCCTCAGCTGAGGATTAACAACAACAAAACAAACAAACAAATAAATAAACAAAGCATGGGGCAGAATCACAGATTTGCGTGAAGGTTATAATCCTGTGACATGGGAACGGTCGGATGGTCTTGGAGTGTAGACTATGGTGCATTCCTAACTGAATGAAGTACTAACTCGCTTCTTCCCGGTCACTTCATGAGCGACCTCCTCTCTGATCACCCGACAGAAAAACATAAAACTCCTCCACCTGTCTGAGAATCTAAGATACCTGGGTGGTGATGAGAAAAAAGTGTCCGCCTTGAGCTCACATCCAACCAGAACCTGCTTGCGGTTTGCGTGCTAATCTTTGATGACCGGTGCTCGATCCTAAAGACAGTGGCTACTGTATGCTTTCAGCAATACTGGCGACAGAGGAAACATGATCTGGAAGTCATCTTTAAACAGGATCGCAGGAGATGAGAGAGCTGGGCATGCGCCTTGCTTCAATACTGCTACCCAAATGGCACGATGACCGCAGACATGTGTAAAAGAAAAAGAGGCTGGCTGCCCTGGCCCATGTGGCTCGGTTGGTTAGAGCATCATCCTGTACACTGAAGGGTCACAGGTTCGATTCCTGGTCACGGCACATACCCAGGTTTGCAAGTTCGATTCCAGGTTGGGGCATTTATGGGAGGCAACCGATTGATATGTCTTTCTTTCTCTCTCTCTCTCCCTCCCTCTCTCTCTCTCTCTCTCTCTCTCTCTCTCTTGCTCTTCCCCCTTCCCCTCTCTCTCTAAAAAAAATCAATAAACATATCCTCTGTTGAGGGGTTTAAAAAAAAGTGTGGCTGATGTAAAAGTCATTGAAAAGTACAAAACTTACATATTAACATACCCTTTACATTTGGAGCTCTGAATACAAACATGGTTTTTAACTTGGCACCAAGAACCGTATCTGGAAACGTTTTAAACCTGTCGGTCCGTCTGACTCTGCTTAGCTGGAGAAACCCCTTGCTAAAGGCATCAGCGTGTTAACTGGTTTAGATCTCAAACTTTGGAAGAAAGAACTGAATGCTCTTGTGCCTCCACCCGTTAGAGGGCAGTACTCACAGCTGCTGCCCACCCTGCTGCCCCTCTGTCCAGCTGCGGGCTCTGGCTCCTTGTATGGAAACTGGAGGGTGGTATCCAAGCTCCGGAACCCTTCCTTCAGGGAGTGGTGCTTGTAATACTCCACAAGTTCCTGAGGGCAAGAAGAACAAAAGATCGTTGTTAATAAGGCCAGGTCAGTCCTCAAACGCATGGACTCCTTCACATACACTGACATATGTATGAGGATGGGCCATTCGGCGCGAAACTTTCCACAAGCCTACGGAACAGTAAGTAACAGTCGCCCCCTGCCGTCTGCGTGTTGGGGACACCTGCCCGGTGACTGTCTTGGTTACTCGGCCCCTTGTAATGGGAGTTGTCCCTATTGTCCCTCCTGGATGGAGAGCATCCTGTGAGTCTCCGCCAGACGCGGGAGGGACCACACTCCATGGAGAGAGACCATGCTCAGCGTCAGTCTCCGAACAGAAATTGTTGCTCTTATTTATGAAATCCTTGCTTTTCTAAACAAAAACAAAGGGAACAGCTGTTTGCTGAATATACAGCAATTTCTAGTTTCCTGCATTTCCTTCCAACGTCACAAAGAGCAAACTTGATCATCGATGTACTTCTCCACGGTGAACCAGCGTCGATAAGCCACGGGTGCTGCTTGGTGTTGCGTGTGGCTGACGGTGAAGTGTCCACAGGTGCCCATCTCCCAGCTCTGCGTGGCCTCTGGCACGTACACAGGTCCCTGACGTGGCTCCTTCCAATCTTCTCTAATACGTCATTGGCCAAGCCCAATATACCAAGCCCAATATAATCACCTCCCACCTTCTTTCACACTAAAATTTCAGGGAATTTCTTATGAGATGCTGGTTGCATGGATTCTACACAAATCCAAACCCGCTGACTTTAAACAGAAATTAAATAGTAATGAATTCATAATGGGAAAAATGTATATTATGATTGGATGAGTACTGGAGCTATAACATCTCTTACAAACAGCTGAAATGAAAATAAAAGCAAAATCCCTTTTAACTCCATTATTTGTTGCTTCTACTGCAGCACAGTCGCTGAGAAACAGAGTGGAACCTACCCACGGCTTCTAAAAATCACACTGATATCAATTTAGTATCTCCATCCCGTAGTTATGTTCAAAGTTCCCAAAACAAATCAATCGGCCCAAAATCACCCGGAAGAAGAAAAGGAGAATCGTCAATGATCTGTGCATCATTTATGGCCTCACTCCGAGGAGCTGTGGAAGATCACCGCGTGGAGAGTTCCCGGGTCACAAAGATTATGGAGATAAGGCCCCTGCCCTCCCGGGGTTCTCACCCTTGAAGGAAAGTGAGGGATTATGGGAGTCCGAAGGCAAGACAGAGAACTTCCTTTTGTGAGTTCTTTTTGGAGGATGAGAGGAGTTCATGATACAGCCTGGCTTACACTGAAGAACATGTACAACTTCAAAAGCCAGGAAGGAGAAAAGGATTGTTTTATTTTACTTTTTAGTATATTTTTATTGATTTCAAAGAGGAAGGGAGAGAGAGATAGAAACATCAATAATGAGAGAGAATCATAGATCAGCTGCCTCCTGCACGCCCCACATGGATGGACAAGCTGCAACCCGGGCATGTGCCCCGACCGGGAATCGAACTGTGACCTCCTGGTTCATAGGTCAACGCTCAACCACTGAGCCACGCCGGCCGAGCGGTAGAGCCTTCGGGCTGGGAAGAGACACGAGGTGATGAAGACCACACTCACAGATTACAGGCAGCGCGGTGGGGCTGAGCACTGGATAAAGCAAAGGAGATTTTCCAACTCTCACATCTGTGAAATGGGGATAACAGAATTTCGCGGAGGATAGCAAAGAGTGTCTGAAGTGCAAGGCACATGTGAGGATCATGACAGCTGCCACCATCCCCTGACCAGGCGCTTACATAGTTCCTCACAATCTTCACACAGGAAACGAGAGGTGGGCCTTGTCCCCAGGGATGCGCAAGTCCCAGGGAGCTTCTCCCACGTGTGCAAGGTGACAGAGCTGGTGTCTGCCTCCAGCGCCGTGTTCCCACCTGCATCACACTATGAGCAAGCGGTTCCTGGCAAAGGTAAGCCCACACAAGGGGGGCTACAGGGAAGGAGCACTTGCTAAGAGTCCGTGATGGGCCAGGAACTTTATTTACGTAGACCTGAGGTGCTAGGCTTTTACACACATTATATCTATAACTTGAAATATATATATATCTTCGCAGGTGTTGTTGCTCTGTGGTTGAGCATTGACCTATGAACCAGAAGGTCAAGGTTCAATACCCGGTCAGAGCACATGCCCGGGTTGTGGGCTTGATCCCTGTGTGGGGTGTGTAGGAGGCAGCTGATCAATGATTCTCTCTCATCGTCGATATATCTCTCTCTCCCTCTCTCTTCCTCTCTCTGAAATCAATAAAAAAATATATATATTTCTTCCTTCTTGGATCCAGATTACAGGGATCCTTGATGAAGAAAAGGAATTTGTAATCTGACAAAAAGAAAGAGGAGGAGGAGGAGGAGGAGGAGGAGGGACGACAAAAATATCAGACAGAAATTTATATCCTCAAAATGGTTTCAATGATCAGAATATGGCATTTGCATTACAGTGATTTTTTAACATGGTCTGCAAAGGCCAAGTCTGGAATTAAATTCTAGAGATGGATGTTACTATGTAACTTTTTCACATAAAAAGGGGAAATCCTGCCAGGGCTCTGAAAGAGCAGTGCTCACATATACTGTGAGGATGATTCAAATGACTCCAGAGGGCTGTTCTTTTAGGCCCCTTAAACTGAGTAAAATGTAACAAATACGAAAATAAACCGGAAAGAAATAAGCCAGTAACTTTGAACTTCAATGTGATTTGGTTACAGGTAATACAGATTTTATGTATTTTATTATAAACTAGTGGCCCAATGCATGAAATTCTGGATAGAGGCCCAGTACATAGGGAGAGCGGGGAGGGGTCCCTCTGTCCAGCCTGCGCCCTCTTGCAATCCAGGACCCCTCAGGGGATGTCCGACTGCCAGTTTAGGGATAGGGCCTAAACCGGCAGTTGGACATCCCTTTCCCAATCCGGGACCACTTGCCCCTAACTGCTTGCCTGCCTGCCTGCCTGCTCAGTGCGCGTCGTAGCGACCAATCGTTCAGCCATAACGGTTGCTTAGGCTTTTATATATATAGATTAGTATGAATTTAGGTTTATGTGAAGTTACTGATAAGGACTTGGGTATCATTTCATACCTACCAACCTCCACATTTTAGTGAAGAAAAATGGATTTTCCAAGCCCTAGGGTCATGCGAATGAGTAAGCTGCAAAACGCTTCTTTATCACTTCACTAAGCATGGGATACATTCTAGCTCCATTTTTACAGTCTTAGGAGGGCGAGCCTTCCCACACGTTCCTAAGCAGGTAGAATGAAATGGTGCCGCCTGGATCTTTTCCCAGGGATGCCTTTCTGCTTCCTGCCTTTCAGTCTAATCCGCCCCTGCTTACAGTCATTGACCTTCAGGTACTACAAGTAAATAAGACGACTCTAAACAAAAGCAATGGCTAAGCTTCCCTTATCTCACACTCACACAGAGGTGTCGGCAACTCCAGTCTCTCTCAGAAATAATGAGCCCGTCACTCCGGTTACCAAGGCAACAGGCACCGGGGATGATTTATAAACAGCATTTGGCCCTGGAAGGTCTGGCGCACATGACAATTAGAACAAAATTAATGCCTTGTAATCTGGAGGCAGAGATTCATTTAGAATTTGAATTTAATGATGAGGAAAACACCAAAAATCTTGATTCACCGAGTTACGGAAGCCCAAGGGAAACAAGTGAGGTCCCAGCCCCCGCAGGCCGAGCCTCTCTTTGGGGAACTGGCTCATTTAACACCAGTTCTGGAGGCTGACGGTGCTTTACAACCGATTCCAGATTAAAATTTCATTCCAGGCCCTAAGCAGCTTCCGAAGTAGGAGAACAGAACTCGGCCACCACGATGGGAGGCTGTGAACTATTCTGAAGAGACAACTCAAAACCACAGACCCCACTCATATGGGAATTGTGCTATTGGACACCAACAGCATAAAAGGCAACGCCATGAAGCTGTGTGGTCCCGGGTTAGAGAGGCCCCCACATTGCCAGGGTGATGGTGCCTGTGGGCCTCCCCCTCCTTCCCAAGGGGCCGGTTCCTGGCAGGAGCCGCCCCTCCTGATCTCGGGTCCTCGTAGTATTTCTTACTTCAGGTCCAAGGACAGCACTGTGGTACCAGGTGGGTCCTGATTTGAAAGCATCTTTAGAGCACAGCGGCGTCCCTTCTGAATCCTGCAAACACACGGCGGCTCCACACAGTGAGGACTCCGTGCCAACGCAGCACCGGGCGGGGCAGCTCCAGGCACGCTCGCTATCTCCGCATCATCTGCTACAGGCAGGTGCTAACCTGGGCCCAAGTGTTTTCCCAAGACTTATCAGCTCCTTATCTTTCATTCCTTTTACAATTGCTGTCAGGAGGAATGACGGGGATGGTTCTCAGAAAAGCATCCTTAGGCGAGTTCATCATGCTAATGTGCAGGGGACACCATGAGCAAAACCACATGAGTTCGAATCAAGCACAAGAGAAAATCATGCCGCAGAGACTCTATGGAAGAGGCGTAACCCGGCACACTGCTTTACAGCCAACTATTTTTCCAAAGCAGAAAGAGTACACTCTAAAATAATGATTAAAAGAATAGTCAAGCCCTAGTCAGTTTGGCTTAGTGAATAGAGCGTCGGCCTGAGGACTGAAGGGTCCCAGGTTCGATTCCGGTCAGGGGCACATGCCCAGGTTGCAGGCTCCATCCCCAGTGGGGGGCGTGCAGGAGGCAGCTCAATGTCCTCTCTCATCATTGATGTTTCTCTCTCTCCCTCCCTCCCTCTCCTTTCCTCTCTGAAATCAATAAAAATATAGTTTAAAAATGTATAGTCAATACATAAATTAGTCACACAGTTGTTTACTGTCCTTTTTGAGTATTATGTATGTCCTATGCTTTTTAGAGGCCTGGAGCGCAGTAGGTCTGCACACCAGCACCACCACAGACATGGGGTTCAGGTGTTGCCCTACCATGTCACCAAAAGATAGGAATTTTTCAGCACCATTTTTGTTGTTGTTGTTGATTCTCACTGGAGGATTTTTCTATTGATTTTTAGAGGGGAAGGAGGGGGAGAGAGAGAGAGGAGGGGAGAGAAACATCTATGTGATAGAGAGGCACATCGATTGGTTGCCTCCCACACCCACCCCAACCAGGGCTGGGGATCAAGCCTACAACCGAGGTATGTACCCTTGACTGGAATCGAACCCAAGACCCTTCAGTCCGTGGGCAAAGCTCTAACCACAGAGACAAGCCAGCTAGGGCTTCAGCTCCATTTTAATCTTACAGGACCACCGTTACAGATGCGGTCTGTCACTGACGGAACGAAACAGAGTTCTGTCCGTGGTACAACCGTATATCCTTTGCTAATGTTTTGTAGTTTCATCGTAGTTTTGCTATTTATTCTTAATCCCCTCCCTTACACTGACTGTGCTGTCTGCCTTCCAGAAGATCCATCCAGGATACAGAGGAAATCATACCCATGTGTCTCTAGCAGTGGCATTTCACCTGTCGTGTGAGGGCTGCTCATGTGAGCTCTGGGACAGGTCCTTTTAACCCCTTTCCAGAAGACCACTGCGGAAGAGGGCATTGCTCTCTGGTGCAAACGACTGGAGTCCTGGGTCTCTGCAGCTTTTCTCCAGCCAAGGACCTCTGTCGCTAACCCAGTCGCTGTGGTATCACTGGCTTTTCCCATCGGACCGCAGCTGCTCAGGAACTTTCTGGAGCAGAACTGGGTGGCACAGAGCTGCACTGCTCAACCCTTTCCGGTGACTCTTCCTTTCCTCCGGTCTGCTCGGCTCCTCTGATGGGGGTGTTGTTGTTGTTGTTACTTTCCGAGTCGGCAGGGCTGGAACTCATCGTTGGCCCCACAGCAGTTTGAAGCCTCCTAGTAACTGTGACACGTGGAGCAGCCTCGTTCCCATCCCCGGGAGCCCTGCAGGTGCAGACTCGAGCTGGCGTGCCCTGCAGGGAGGAGATGCCCGCGCCCTCTGCACGCTTTGATCATGTCTGGGCTGGGCTGTCACTCAGCATCCGTGTGTCCCCAGGTCCGCAGGCTGGGAGCACACTCCTCAGGTCCACCCCTCTCTGTGCACAGCCTGCCAGTGCCAACAGTGAGTCAGA